CAAAGGCTGTAGAACACATACAGTGACATGCAGGTGTCTTTTTTATTCACTGCTCAAACTGCTGTTTGACTTTAATTGGACTCTAATCCAACCAGATTCCATTCACACAGCAATGAACTCTGCTGCAATGTGACCTGCTCCAACACCCACATTTACACACTTAAGATTTATATCTTACCGCACAAGAACACAACACACCCACAAACCCAACGTTGCACATTACATTAGAAATGAACATGTCCAAAACGTTTAGTCTTAAACCTAATTAAATTATGGTCAATGGACATTTTTGTCATTTCTAGTTACATTTGGAGAAAGGTTCATTGTATTCCACTGACGTCTCATAGAACAGCACCTGTTTATTAATGTGGAATAAAGGCATTGCTGTAAGATTTTAAATGTTAGCGTCAGATTTTTGTTGATGAACATCTAAAAGTATTGATCCACCATTGGCCATGGATCGTTATAAAGAAGTCTTGTTTGTTTAAATCCAGTCAAGTATCCTTGGAGGTGAACTTTTCTAATTTATATTCTTCATGGCTCACAGTCTTTGCACAAGATAGGTTTTTGATTTTTTTTTTCTGTTTTCTTTGTGTTTTAATGACCTTTTAGACACACTTCCTGGTTAAAACTTTTTTTTTACCTTTTGAAGAACCAGGTCTCTGTGACAATCAGCCTCCATTGGCTGCAGCTGTGCACCTCAGACACAGCTGAGGACAATCAGCCTGAGAGAGGTTTTAAGAGCAGGCTGCATTTGGGGTGTAGGCAGTTTGCTGTTCATTTTTGAATGATGTTTTCAATCTTTTTTTTTTTTTTCTGTTTTCCCCAACGATCTGTAGACTGAGATTATTTCTGTTTTTGTATTTGTTACTCTACAAACTTAACTTGCAAACTTATTGCACATCTAAACGTATCAATGTGTTTGCTGGTGTTGACTGTAGAATAGTGCAACATGATTCTCCATTTATTTTTATACATACAACCTGTTCATTGACAAGTCAAGACATGCACTTTAATGAGAACTGAACTTCTAGATGGTGGCTGTTAAAATGTCACATCACCATGTCACCTGTCTTGGCACAGCCCTCACACAGTTCAGGTGCGAACACCTCTGCCCCTATGACTCATACCTTTCAACCACTTCATCCTTTTGCAAGGCTGGAGCTGGTGCTTGGTCCAGTACCTGCAGTCCACCACACGGTCATGTATGGAGACAAACGAGCATTCACACTAACATTCACACCTATAGTCAGTTTAAGTGTGAACAGTTAACGCTGATGTTTTTAACTGTGGGAATTGAACCAGAAACCCTGGAGAATACCCACTAGAAACATGATCTGGACTTAAAGTGGTCAAGGATGTCTTATATTGTGTGTATGAGAGTGGGGTGTCGAGGGAGTGTTAGCTAAGAACTCCAGCTTCCCTCCGCTACCAAAAAACATGCAGGATTACGTTGCACTAAATTGGCCAAAGGTGTGAATAAAAGTGTGAATGGTTGTTTCTATATCATGGTGTAAGCCCACCCCCACCAGATCACTGTTGGAGTTGGCTCATGTCTCTGGAAAGGTCCGAGCAGTAAACGATATGAATGGATTCAACATTTTATCAAGATAGATTTTTTTTAGCGCCTTTGTGCTTCTCTACTGAATATAAACAAATGTGTTGGTCAGGGGGTTGAAAGTTTGAACTTATCGACATCCTGGCCTACTTTCAAAGGACAAACATGGGGGTTCCGATATAAATTGTCCCCTAACGGTGAAAATCCTTGACGCGGTTAAAGGAACTCCAGCCGGATTTGTGCCACTCAAGGTGAATCGGAAGGCCGCTGACGGAGGCTGGACAGCAATCGCTAGTGGGTTCGTACAGTATGATATGAAGGGCATTAGCCATCATTTATTATCAGTAGTAAGTACACGTCACCGTTGACTTCCTCTGTATCACCACAGAGTAACAGATGCCACCGGAGAGATCCACAATCTGATCACAGAGGAGCAGTTCTCACCGGGGGTGTATCGTGTAGAGTTTGACACTAAGGCTTACTGGAAGAGTCAAGGCAGCAAACCATTCCATGAACTAGCCGAGGTGAGCACAACAGGTTGTTTTGATCCACTACAGTTATTCCGATAAAAACCTAACAGTGGTTTTAATACGTGTCTGTGTACAGAAGATAAAGAAGTCAAATAAAATGCTCAGGAAGCTCGTTGTTGCAGTGCTGCTCCAAAACAAACAAGGTCACAGATAAAAAAGAAAAACAAAATGGAACAAAAAGTTCCAACTCTCACAGTGCACACTGTACAGCCAAGTGTGCACTGACTGAAGGGAGCAGGTGAGGAACTGTAAGTCAGATCGTAAGTCACATACTGATACTTAACTCCAGGGACTGAAATCTGGTTATTTTTAAATGTTATTTCAGTTTTTTGGAAAAGAACAAAAATCATAAAGAGAAAGATCAAAAACGTAACACACCTCAAAACTTGTCAAAGACAATGATAAAACTTGAAAAAGTTGTTGGACAAGCTGGAGGAGTGGGTGGAACATTACTGGAGTTCCCCCAGCAGTCCAGGCCTAGTGCAGCAAAACTACAGTCATTGGTAGATCTTTTCAGAACAGAATAATCTATTAGAAAAGTGGAGACACTAACAGTCCAAGGGTGTTACTACATCTATTTCCTTTTCATTTCCATGCCGCTGTTTCATTTTTACAGATTGATGGGAAGTTAGAAAGAATCTGGATATGAAATGTTGTGATGAATTTCTCAAATTTCTGGGCCCGTGAAGCCACACCGTAACACGCTGTATTATCTCGGTAAACTCTACGACCTATGTAAAGGCTTAGCTTGTGTTTCCTAATGTTATCTGGAGTACATGACGACAGGCGGCCAACCAGAATCCAGCTATATTTACATTAGTAATGTAAACGTTCATCCTGTTTGTTCTGCTTTTTGTCCTCACTGTGAAGAAACTCTTCCCAGAACAAATGTTGTCAAACATTTTGTGCCCTCTTCAGGTAATGGCCTTTACATCGTTCCATGAAAGTAAGGCAGCAGTGCTCTGGCGGTTCTCAAACATTTGAGTTTGTCCATCACTAGTATGATCGTAATTAAAATACAACAGAGCAGGCCTACCACTGTTCAGCAAATAACTGCACAGCACACACAATTTTTTTTTTTGGCATTTGACTTGTTGTGTGTGTGTGTGTGTGTATAGGTGGAGTTAAAGGCCCACGCTGAAGGTCACCGTCACTACACACTGGCTCTGCTCCTCAGTCCATACTCTTTTACCACCACCGCGGTGGTCACTGACATCCACCAGTGACATTGATCTACACTGACATCTAATGGTGAATCCACTGAATGTCCTACTGAAGTATCTCTGTGTCTCAATTCAAGCCTGTTTTTCTGTTTTTCCAAAAGATAATAAAACACATTAAAGAAACCTTGTGTACATGGAGTCACATGGTCACTGCTGGTCTACTGAAAACTCAAAAATGGTGACTCACCTAGTGCACCACGTGCTATGAGACCACCAATTTAAGAATTTCCAAAGTAGGGCGTTAGAGGGCGCCAACCCGTAATCTCAACTAGGCCACCAGAATGGCTGGAGCCAATTCTGCATGTCACATAGCTACTGGGGATGATTTTTTTTTTTTTTTTTAAATTTTTTCATCTTTTCAATATGATATATTGCTTGAACTTTTAATATCATTTGGTTGTTTTTATTATTATTATTATTATTATTATAAATTATTATTATATAAGAGGCCCCACACCTGGAGTTTAGTATGATTTAAAGTTAAACTGCACCATCTGCTCTAAAGATAGTTGGTGCTCTGGCTTTACAGCAGTGGTCATCAACTGGAGGCCCGCAGGCCAAATCTGGCCCACTGATCTGCCCAATCTGGCCCATGACTGGGCCAGATTGGCCCAGTCAGTCATTCCAAAATAATGTTTGAAATAAAAATCCCATTTTGTGTCTGGCCCCCAAGCTGTTGGTCCAGACAAATTCTGGCCTTTCTACAAATATAGTTGGTGACCATTTCTGTACATCATTGGCTCTTGATCAGAGATTTAATATCTCATGAACTCAAACATGATCTGAGTCTAATGTGCACTAGTCATCATTTTGTTACATTCTTTTGAAATAAACACAAGAGCCATTCAAATGCTGCTTCAGAGATTTTTTTTTTAATTATTTCCGATGATACTCAGCAGCAAACAAATATCTGTCCAGTTGTGCATCTGCCAACATCATCTACACATCCATGACGACGTAGTTTAAGTTGATAAGCTGATGGAGACTGTGAGATATGACGTATGAACGGTTTCAACAGAGGTAAGAAATGTGGGAAATGGGATTTTTTTTGTTTTAACAATAAGAGTCAATGACAGTGACATGGAGACCATTTGATTCTCAACGTCATACAGATCTTTGGTCACCAAAGCTCTAGGGGGCGCCATCAGTGGATGTGTCTCACAGTGGGATGCAGAAGCACCATTTGGACTGACAACCAAATATTAAAAACCACAAAATGTATTGTGACCTAAGACCTTGTTCAGACTGCAAGAATAAAAAGGTTGATTTTCATATACAGACTAAAAGCAGATTAGACAGTGCAAAAATTGAGATTTACTCCGTTTAAACCCCATCAGAGGTATTTATGAAATGTTTCTGGACAATTTGTGTCAATCTGATCACTGGCTGTTCAAAATCTGAGAACAGATGAACTGGTGTGACATGTCAGGACATCAAAACCAAAGAGATGCCCTCGCTCCTCGTGTTCAATCATTACGGTACAGAGTATCGGGGGAAACACTGCTGCACCAAAATTGTTTGAGGAGCGGGACTATGCGTCTCTATTTTTTTTCCTACGTCCAAGTTTTGAAAGTCACGTCACAATCCTGCAGTCTGAACACAACCTGAAGGACACGTCATGAGGCAGTTTCACAAGATGTAAAAAGCAAGATCAAGAAGATGGCCAGAGTTCTGACTCTTTAACTCAAAGGTTGAACAAATCAAAAAAGTATATAAGAAACTGACGAGACGTGGTTATAAAAAATGAAGCCCAGGAAAAGTCCTACATTAAGTTCAGTGCAGATTCCAGAACTAATTCTGTACGATGTCTGGAAAAGTGAGGCGAGTTCTCACTAGATTTATAACATCAAAAACAAATTCTTGGAATGTTTATGGTCTTTGTCGCTAGTTTCAGGTCTTTACCAACAGAAAGGTGATGTAGTAACATTTGTAAACTGTTACTCTGTGTAGAGTTAATGAAATGCAGTTTCACACACATGTCAAATCTATAAACCATTTGCAGTGTCAACTCCAAAAGTCCGGCTTTGTCATTGATAATTTCTACCAAATGGAACTGTAAACTACAATTAAGACTAATAATTTCGTGGTCCATTAACTGCAACTGAAAATTATTATTGTGATGGTAAACTATTGGGGCAGAGGAGGGGTTTACTCCCATTACAAATGTAGTGAAAAATAACCTCACTTCTCCTAGACTTTTCCGAGGCTTATCTTAAGCCAAGTCCATTTCTTATATACAGTCAATGTTCAAAACATACAGTTCGTGTTGAATTGAAAACTCTTGAGATACTGTAGATAATCTCAACAATGAACATCTGGTCCAAAGACACCTGCCAACAAAATTACATCTTTTTTTCTTCTAGAGTTCAAATATTGCAGAAATAAGTTTTTTTTTTGTTTGTTTTTTGTCAAGATATTGTGCCACTCAAGAACTCCAGTAGCTTCAGCTGCCAGAAGCTGTCGCCACAGTTCTCTCATTCTGGCTCTCCTGGCTGCCTCATATGCTTTGGGAAAAGAAAAGTAGATATAATAATAATATCGCTAACACTACAGTCCAGACACACACAGTATCTAGCCCCAGTCGCCATGCTCCACAGCATGGTACAGTACAATGAAGAGCTTTTTTTTCACATGGTCCAGCGCTATAACGTTAGGAAGGAAACAATAAAAACTGTAAAAAATAAAACATCATCTTAGGCAAAAATATACATGTACTCATGTGAGACTATGAACTTGCAGTGCAGTATGTTTGTAGGACACACTTCCCGCTGCAGCAGCTGATCGTGGGAGATCAGCTGTTGGCTGTTCACACAGTGCAACTCAAGAAGAAGAAAAAGGCAAACTAAAAATATACACATCTTCAACTGATGGCAATTTTGTTTGTGGAAAAACATAAAATGGAAATTTTGTAAACAAAATAAGTTAAGGCATGCAAGGATGATGTCAAATCTCATGAATTGTAGTTTGTTTGTTGTTGTTGTTTGGTTTTTTTTTTTTAATATAAGCCAAACATCCTACACAGTCAAGTTCTCTTCCTGCTGGGAAGAAAAACCACTCTTAATAAAATGAAAGGTAGCTGCCAAAAACTAAACTCAGATCCACTGGAATATCACTGTGATATGCCCGAGAATTTAAAGGCTCATATTTACATACTGGTCTTCTGTGTTCGAGCACTAAAGAGGCCATATTTACATACAGATTCATGCGCGTTCAGCAGCAGTGCAGCAGAAGGAAGAAAAACAAAAAAGTTAGCAAATACCAGAGTGAGTAGTGTAACTGGGAGTGCTCCTGGACACAGACTCCTGGTCATAGAGAAATAAATAACATGTATCAAAAATAAAAACAAATAGTAATCATGACCTCATTGGGATCTCTCCTTGATAAAGTGGTAACAGAAATGCGGCGACCCAACGAAACTGATATGTTTAGAAAGAAAGTGAGACGACGCTTCTGTTGGCCTACGAGGTGACAGTGATGAGACTAAGAGAAGCAGTGCAGAGCTGAGCGGAGTCGAGTCGAGTCGGGGCAGAGGGAGCTGCGGTTCTGCCACATTTAAGGCTTCGCAGTAAACATCAGAGCGGAGACGCTGCTGCTCCCTGTGACCGACACCGACTAGTAGTAGTTAAGCCAGCGAGGACATGCACCAACACACGCACATACACACACACACACACACACACTTTTTCTGCTTGTTTTTTTTTCTCCAACTAGGATTTCTTGGCAGCATCACATGGTGCCTTCTCGCCTCCACCATCGCCGCACAGTCTTTTTATCAGGTGAAAATGGCACGATGAAAGGCCAGGCTGTAAGGGAGCCGGGGTAAGTCGAGGGTACAAAGAGTGAGGAGTGGAGCGGTGGGGGTGAAAAATGATGGCAGCAGTTCAGTAGTCTGTGATTGGCGCAAGCTCAGGAGATAGGTCCACGGTGACGTTTTTGTAGAGGCTGCTGAGGGAAACGAGGGGGTTGTAGTGGAGGTTGTTGAGGCCGTCCAGGTGTTGTCGCTCCTTGGAATACCTCAGTAGTTTATACCTTTGGACAAAAGTAAAAAAATAAATAATGTATTAAAACAAGTACAGCACCTTTGAAAAAAAGGAGTGACGACTTTGACATGGCCCATTTGTCCCCCTCAACTTTTAATAAATCACTTTACAATGAACAGTAATTCTTAGAAGCTATTTTGTCAAAACAAAATCCAACCTAAAGGGGTCAAAGTCAATTCTGTGGATTCTTAACACTATGATAGCCGTTTACAAAAGTATACACTAGAGGGAGGCAAAGAGCCATGTTGCATTAAGACAATACAAGGATTTCTTTCAACCTCCTGAAGCTAAACTAACAATAACTCCTGTAATAACATCAATTGTAGTTAGAAATTACCTTCCAAGAAACTGCACCTCTCCTCTGTGGTGATGGGGAATCGACTGGTACCTGCCGATCTCTCCTTCTGGTCGTGTGACATTAAAACCAGCGTAATGAACTCTGTAAAGAAGACGGCAGCAACTGTTAGTAATCATATCCAACAGCACATGCAGTTAGAAGCATAAATGGGAACACTGCGCATCAATCTGATTGATTGAAAAAAGAAAGAAAGAGAATATATATGGATTTTATGCAATATATTGATGAAGTAATATACAGTAAAACTGTAAAAGTTTTAGGTGCCACCAAACTCATAGACTGTCCTCCAGGTGGCTCTCCAAAAAAGTAGGCCTTTGCAAGGAGTGAATAGATGAGGAACGTTTATGTTTGTTTGCTTCACAGGCATTAAGTGTACAAAGTGTTCTGTGTTTGTTGTAATTTCTTCGTGACCTCTGACCTGACATTCCTCACTGAGATTTTACCTGTTCCACAAGTCGTCATCTTCTCCTCCCCAGCCCCAGAATGCATTAGGAAAGCCGTTAATTTTACGGAACTGCTCCGCGGTGAGTCCACTCACACCTCCAAAGAACTCGTTGTATGGAAGACTGTGAACAACAGCAAACACCATGGTTAAATACTGTGTTGTTTAAAAAGAACTTGATGTACTGTACACAGACCCCCCCCCCCTTAAAAGAACACACAAAGGCCACAGATTTGTATTAAGTTTTTGACTTTGTAAAAATAATTAGTGCCTAACACCTAATGCCTGGCTTGTAGACACTTGAGACTGTAGGACAGCACCCACTCCAGACAGCACAGAGGGTTCAAAAGAAAGTACTATTATTTTAAACTTGTAAACTACAGATTTAACACTTACATGTACATGTATTTGTCCAACTTGGCAGCAAAGTGTCGTGGCATCTGACCACAGCCGTAGTAGTTGCGGTCGTTCTCAGGGATGTGGTCCACGTCGTGGAAGATGAAGCAATCCCAGTCCAGGTCCTTCATGGCCTCCACGAACCCCACGTTGAACAGCATGGCTCTGTTGAAAGGCTGGGTGCCGCTCTGAACACACAAGAGGAGTCGACCAGTTTGGTTTTTAACAGGTGTTCGACTGTGACTCGACGTGAGGGCCAAAAACACTTCAGCAGTTTCTCCTATAATAATAATAATACTGAACTCATACACACACCTGTTCAATCACATAGAAGGCAAACTGGAGGCGCTGTCTCTGCAGCATGGGGATGAGGTGTTGAAAGAGGATGGGAAGATGCTCATGCCGATTTCTAAATGGAATCAAGATCGCCACCTGCAGATCAACGCATGGAATAAGAGTGAATGAGCGTTATGTCAATATTTTATAACCATCTTTGGCTGAAATCATTGTTGAGAGAATCTGTGTAAATGACAGACAGCTGGCAATGGAAACAAAATGTATCAACAAACCTTCCAGCGAGGTCGGCAGTCCTTGGGTTTCCAATGACCTCCAAACTTTACTCCATACATCATGGAGAACTTTACCTCGAGCTCTTCTAGTGGGATCTCCGTCATGTTAACTTCCATTGATCCCTCTGTGCGCAAGATTTGAGAAGAAGGTGCGTTGCGACGTCGGCAACACAACAACGGTGAGTGTAAAGTCAAATTAAGGATGTCAAAAATGTGACTGACAACAGATAACTTCACTCACTCATAGAAGGTAATCGCTCAGGGCAGGGCAGATTCTGAGCATAGGTGAAATTTTCTGGAAGATACAGAGTTGGCTGGACCATGTACTCACTGGAGTTACTGCCATCAGGATAGTCTGAAGGAAAATATGTACAAAAAAAACATGTTAACAGAATAAAATGTTAAATTACTAACAAGGTTTGATACTAGTCACAACTAATGCAAATGCATTAGTGCATTTGCTTAAAACCAGAGGCATTGGAATTACAGCATTTTGTGTGATGAAGAGAGTGCGGTGTGTACTATAAATTGACCCGTCAATGCACTTTTCTCATTACATTTAACAGTCACTGCCACACAGCATTAATATTAAATGTGTATAATGTTTATTCTATCAAGAAGATCAAAGCAGCTCACAAATTCCAGGATAATGCACATTTGATAATCAATAATCATTTCGCCACAGGTGAAATAACTTTTAGATGTGCGTTTTTTTCCATTTACATTGTTAATTAACATTTGTCAATGTTTGCATTTGACATGAGAAAGTTTTTGGTAACATTTCTGCAAAGTTCAAGTTAATATTGTTGCAGAATTTGTCTCCATCACCATCTTTGCAGTATTATGAGTCCCACTTGTGCATTTCTTCCTACCTGTCCCATTTACTGTACTGTTCTTGTTGGTGTACAATCGGAGCATGTGACCAATGGTCCTCACGTTGTCCCTCAACATGATGCCCCGAGCCTGGACCATAAAGTAGTACGTGTTGGCTGTCAAAGAAACACAAAAACAGGCCATTAATACACAGTTGTTACCCTCGTCGTTGTGTAGTGACTCTCAAATGTAGGTCCAAAACAATTACATTTGATAAAATCCTTCACCCAACCCTCCCACCATCTTTCCCCACCACCCACCGCCGCTCCCTTTGTTTGGTATGTGCTTCACTGGATCCCATAGCAAATTTTCAAGCCTTGTTGTGCAAGTGCTGTTACAATTAGCCACATCAGCACATGTGGCTTAGAGCAACATGCATTAACATGTGGTCTTTGGTCTCTCCACTCTGTTTCAGTCAGTCAGCAGGTACTGTGGTTAGCTTGTTGGGAAATGAAAGTATATTCAAATAAATGTATACTGTATATAGTATTACACTGTCACATGGTGTAAAATAAATATAGGTTACATTGACAACAGCTGTATTTTACCAGACATTAAGGCAGTTTTTTAATTGAACTAGGTAATGGTGTTGGCATTAATGTATAATAAAAATACTTTTCCATCAACAACACAAAAAAGATGAAAATATTAATACAAAAAAAAAAGAAATAATCTGAATTTATTTGCAGCAAGTCCAAACAACAATTTGTCCGGCACCTAGTGTTGGATTATTATTATTATTATTTTGGTAGACTGCTGGCCCTCCCAATTTTACTTGGCTCAATATACAACTTTGTTAAAGAAACCCAAGTTAATAAATAGAATAAATGAAAGCTGTAGGAAGTCTGTTGTGTATAGCCCACCAGGGAATTTCATCCGCCTTGGGAGAAAATTGTAATAAGTAAAATACCATAATAAGAAAATTAATAAGCTGAATCAGGAAATGATGAGACAATTTTCTATGAACATCCAAGTTGAAACTTCAACTCCTGAACAACCTCATGTCATGGTATAGTGTGCCAAGGTCTGTGTAGTGACTACAAAGGTTTGACTTCATCTGACACTTAATAATGCTCACATGATACCCACCACTGCTCAGGCTCAGCTGAGGGATTGTGGGGGTAGTTCCCAACCTTCCCGGTTCACAGCTGTCCATTAGCAGGCTGAGTTTACCCAGGCAACAACACAACATACTCATTAAACCCAGGAGTCAAATTAGTGCCCGCACATCACATATCAACAGCCAATTGTTTGTTTGGGCCTTCCAACGAAAAAGCTAGTTAAAATTAAACCTGCCCTGAGGCTGTGTGTGTGTGTGTGTGTGTGTGTGTGTGTGTGTGTGTGTGGTTTCTTTGTGTCCATTAGTGAGGTAGTGAGGTGAAAATAGTGCAGCAGTTTTGGGTTTTTAAGATTAGAACAGACTTCAAGTCAATCAAGAAAAAGAAGACGTGAGGGAAAGGGGAAGTGTACAGCAGCAGATAGATGAGAAAGAAATATTGATATTGAAGATCGTCTATGTTCAGAACTGTTAAATTAATGGATTATTAATCGTTAATAGTTTTGCTGAGTCAACAGAAACACCACAGTTATCAAGCAAAAGTTGACAGAAGTTACAGTTTTAACGAAATGTCCAAGCCCAAAATATATATACATTTTGCAACAATGCTTGGACTAAAATGATAGGAGATCATGATTGTTGTGACTGATGGCTGTTATCATTAGATTAGTATTTCATGTCACAAGGCAACAAAATTAAATTTAACAAATACATCACTTCTATTACATGTTCCAAATAATTTGTGGTCACTTTACTACTCATGAGTACAATACTCGTGTACTGGAACAGTATGTAGTCCTTTCTCACTTGATTTAAAGCAACATAATGTACTTTCCATTCAACAGCATCCTTTAGGAGCCACATAAGCTCCATTAACATGAAGACTATTAAAGACCACAGTGTTACCTAGAGCAGATTTGTCAGTAATGCTCACATGCTTCACTCTCTTGTTGACAGCGAGTAAGGTGCCTTCTTCTACAGATATTCTAACATTATGTGATGCCGTTTAGCTGCAGCCAAGTGATGTAAGGACGCCACATTAAGTGACCTGAATGCTTTCAACTTGATTTTAAACTGACCCGACTGACTTCCCACATGTGAGGCAAATGGAACTCAGCTTCCATTTTCTCTCCACCGCTGACCAAATTCAGCACAAAAGTTGTTCTATAAATAAGATTAAACTTGTTTTCTAATGTTATGAGTAGTACTATGAGTATGAGTCAAAGTATGATGTAGATAAGGTATTATTATAGGCATTTTGTGGTACATCAGAGAACATGTTTTTCAGGTGCAGCCTAGTGAAGTAATGCACTGAAACCACTTATTGAAACTTAAACGCAAATAACTAGTATTTAACTGGATCTTGCAGTAGAACTACTCCAGCGTGTTGCTTTCAAAGCAAATTGAGCAGTCAATACAGAAGTGATGATGAATATAGCAGGTAGGGTACGGTGGAGGGCATTCACTCTTTGCTTGCAAAGGATTTTGGAAAATATTTTGCAACGTCCTATTTCTAATTACATTCAAGCAAAATCAATTAAATGTCTGCAGTGAAGCCCAAATTCATAATGTGTATGGACTCTAAAGTTTTTACATAAATATCAAATTAAAATTGTGCCCCATGAAAAGAACAAAAATAAATAAAATGTATTTACAGTGAATATTACAGTTGAAAGTTATTTTACTTTTGGAAAATCTTTTCTCGATTACAAATTGCGAAGTCGACGTGATTCATAACTAATTAAATAAATGTAAAGAAGCAGGTATATGTGAAAATGATTTTAGAAAAACTTTAATTAGCGTTAATCTTTCATTTGGGGATGTATCATGAGCGAGTGTAGAATCTAGCAGTCAGAATGACCGCTCGCGGCTGTTCAAGTAGTTTAGGAATTCCGGCGGTTCTGTTGTTAAACGATAAGCCAAAAAAATAAAAAATCTGGCGAAAATGCCTAATTTAAAACTAACATCTAATTCCTTTGACAGCGTTATTAAGAGAGACGCCCACAATTCATTCATTCATTTAAACGCCTGCTGTCAACGAGCTAAAAAAGCGCTTACTGAACATTGTTGGCCGAAACGTGTTGTGAATGATTTATTACCACAATTTAACAATATTTATGAAAAACTAAATGATGTACTTGTCCAAAGAATTGTTTAAAAAAATGTGGGGAAAGTGTACATCGGCCTTGGTTTATCCATCCTGTTAGCTGATTGTTTAGCATTAGCTTAGGGTGTATTAAAGCCGCTGCAGGGCGTTTAAGGCTAAGACACGCATAATCCTATTAAACGTTTCTCCGTTTATTGTCAAAGGTCTACTCACCTAATCCAGGAGCCACGTAAATGAAGTAGAGACATGTGAAGGACAGGCAGAAGAAGAAGACGAAGGCCAGAAACGACCGGTTGGACATCCGTAGCAACCACCTCCAGTTCACCATTTTGGCTCAGGGCAGGCCCGCTTCTCCTTCAAATCTCCTGTGAATTCCATAAAACACTGTGTTGGAAAAAGTCCGGGGAATAGACGAAAAACAATGTCAGTGATGCTGTCATGGGAAAAACCCCTGCACGTTACACGCCCAGAGTCCTGGCCGGAAATGCTAACAGTAGCTATAGTAAATGCTTGCCTGGTTTATCCCCTGCCAAGAACTTTCCAGATGGGAAAACGGGCAGATAACGCTTCTATCAGGCAATTGACAGCCTTATGAAGCACCCGCCAGTCGGGCACATTGATAGCGCAACACCGCAAGGCAGGGGTTCGGCTTAACGCGGATCACGGGAGTCTTCCATGGTCACGGGAGTGCAGACACGGGAGGCCGGTCATTGAAGGGGGCAGGACCGCTCTCTTCTCCCACACACACACTCCCGTTAGCCTGTGCGACGATTCCAGTCCTGTAGGCGCACTAATAATTATTCAAGCCACGGACACGCGAGTCCACTTTATCAACTAACTAACTAACACTTTCTTTTAACAGATCTACACTCTGACGAAACTGTCATATGTAAGATGTACATACATTAAAACTGAATTCAGTTGGTTCGACGTTGTATTTCTCGCTGACACCGTTTCCGGTTAGACTGCAGCCCCTCCCATTCGGCGCGTTAGCCTTTCATCCAAGTAAATGAAGCCAATAAACGAGCCGTTAGACCAAGTATCGTTTTAGATTAGAGTCAACTCTAGTCATCGGACAACAAATAATAAAAGTAACTTGATCTCGAATTTCCCTTGTTTTAGTGCAAAAACAGTGATTTAGGAATATAATAATATATAAAGTCTCACCAAACAAACGCAGTTTCATAAATCATAATTTCACTTTATTATGTACAATCTCATTACCCATAGTTAACTATTAGTAGTATCAAGAGCTATAAATTACTTTAAATTTACATGCACCTCAACATCTGGGACCACGTGAATTGTCCAACCACAATAATGAGGTGGGGGCTTTAAAGGAAGTTATTCCCATTATCTATAAAGGTCTAAAATTTATTTTAACACAATATGTTTAGTTAATCATTTGTTTATTGTCACACTTTCCAAATTCCTCTTTTATACTGACTAATCATTGAAAGGGCTGTTCTAGTCCACGTGTGCTATGTTTGCTATCACCAGAATTAAATATTTACAACAGCTACTTTCTGTTCACTAGTCCTAACGACGTTTTGTTTGTCTTGAAGTAGAGCGGGTCAGTGGCTAAACCAGGTTGAGTGTGTTCCAGTTGGTATTAATGTGTAACTACATAAGGCTGCAAATGAAGCATCTCCTACATACGGTCTTCAGTGAGCCACTGGGCATTTCCAAACAGTGCACGTCCACTAATAATTCATCACACCACATGTCCCATGACACACAGTACCGACTACTGCCTCTACACACATTTCCCACAACATATAAATAAGTAAACAATAACGAGAAACAAGGCTTCCTCTTAAAGTATACTGTCAGTGAACGCTGCTTGGAATTTCATGTCTTCTTCTATGGAATCGAAGAATAATTTATAGATTCAAATTTTGTTATGGCAGAAAGACTGAGCAAAGCAGTAAATGACACAGGGCACATGTCTCATGGCTTTGGTTTATATTGTATGTACGAATTTAGCATAACTTAGCTTAGCTTCTATTATTGCTTCCTTGTTCTTAATGATGGTACGAATTGACGACTTTGCTAAGCCATACCGTAAACCGCTGTTCGGCACCGAGTTATGGTTCGACAACCGGGGCAATTTTTGTGTTTCAAATTGTTCAAAAAGGGAGGAGTTCAACAACCAAGTAATTACTGTGTAATTACTTTGCCTTCTGTTTTCCATTTTCAGTTGGATAACCTCCTGTAAGAGTGTGTTCTGTAACCAGGCAGCTGTGTCCTGCTTCTGTCAACAAATGAGTAACAATTTTAATACTGCATCTCATATTGGCTGCTGCATGTGTGACTAAATGAGTAGCACTGTGGAGAAGATGCATGGAAAGTCGTATGAGCGATCGCAAGACCTGTGGTTCAATAATTAATTGCAACCTGTGTTTGCTGGGAAGTGCGATGGAGGAGATTCAAGGTGTTTGGGACAAATAATCCTCCCACTGCTCTGGACCCACGACACTAAACTGCTGCCTCATCCACAACAACTGTATGGCGTTTTAGTTAAAAGGAAATTAAACAGGACTTTGAGATTAAAGTCAACTTTGTTGTGTGGCCTTTCAACCATCCTCCATCCATCCATCCATCCATCCATCATCCATCCACTTACACTTACTTCTTTTCTTTTAATCCCCCTTCCATCTTTCCTTCCTGTCTTTCTTACCCCCCCTTACATTATTTCCTTTCTTCCTCATTTTCCCTTTCTCCCTCTTTTTTCTTTTCTTTTATTCTTTCCTTCCATCTCTTCTTTTTCCTTATCATCTTCCTTCCTTCCTTCCTTCCTTCTTCTTCTTTCTGAACAACGTGGTTGTGAAGGTTTGCTGCTACTGGAGTTTTTTTTTCATCATTATTTCAAGGGCAACTCCCTACCACTGGTTCCTGACTGTATCTCACGTGTGTCACAGTTCTGAACAATTGTAAGCGTCAAACACCCGACCAAATAAACGTAACACCGCTCAACGCTGGCCAAAGCTGGAGGTGACGCATCTTAACGTTTTTCCAATAACAATATTAAATATTAACGTTTATGAAAAATATCTGAAGATATTTATTTCGACACGGCTGTTTATTTTTAATTTCCTGCGCAATACACCTTTAGTATCAGTTTTATGGAGCGTCGCTGCGGCCAACCAATGACAGAGCAGAGTTCTGTATTAACGACCAATCGGATCTAAGATCTGACCATAGCCATCGTCCCTCCCTCCCCGCACTTTTTTGCGTGGACTTTTGTGTAGTTCAGTCAAAGTTCGTAGTGAGCATTTGACCAACAATTGTACTGCGACGCAAGTAGTCAAGCTCCTCTGTGGCGAATTGGTAGACTCTTCTTCCTGCTTCGTCACTCGCTGCTGCTTCCATTCTCAGACATGTCTTTATATCTGCTTGGTGCAGGACGTCTGTGGAAGTGCAGGGCTGTTGTGAGAAGATCCATGGCTGCACTGCAGCTGCAGCAGTCTCACTGGTAAATGTTTATTTATCGCTATACATGAACTTGTATATGAACTTGCCAACACAGCACGTCGTCTCTGTGCAGGACGGTTGGTAATCCGCTATTGATCCGATATATTGATTGTAATTTTACTAATATTTGAATAATATTGGAAACACTATATTATGGGTATGTAACAGGCTACAGAGAATGACCAGGGTAAAATATGAAAAATTAAACTGTTTAAATGGGAAAAAAAGATTAGTTAAAGAAATCCAAACCTGTTGGGCAGGTTATGTGGCAGTTGTTTATTTTCTAATTTTTTAAAAGGAAGCCGCTCTTCTCTCACTGTCGTCTGCCTGTGTTCTGCTGCAGCTCATCAGTGGCCTCTGGCAAGATGCATGTTAACGGAGTGGATCTGTACTACGAAAAGACAGGCAAAGGGAAACAAGCTGTCCTGCTATTTCCTGGTGCACTGGGTAACTGTATTTTCAATACAATTTATGAATATAGCAACCAATCAGAAAGATCTATGCACTAAATAAAACTAAAGACAAACAAAATCACAAAAATGAGTAGAGTTGAAAGTAAAAGTAAAAAGAATGTTAAGACAGGCGTAGATTATATGCAGCAGTTTAAATTTGTCTCCGCAGGAACCACAAAAACTGATTTTGGACCGCAGCTCAAGTCCTTGAATAAGGAACGCTTCACAGTCGTCGGCTGGGATCCCCGTGGAAACGGAAACTCTCGTCCACCAGAGAGAGACTTTCCCTTGAACTTCTACGAGCGAGATGCGAAGGATGCAGTGGATCTGATGAAGGTGCAGTAGAACATGAGAACAACAAATTTAAGGTCACTGCAAAGATGCAGTGCATGGTTTTAAAGAGTAGAGAAGACCAATGCATTTTTAAGCAATCGGTAGTCAAAATAAAGCCCAAGCTGATGATACCGCCGTAACTACATACATGGCTGCCGACTATTAAATAAATACATGAACACATTTCAAGTCATGTAAATTTATGTAAAGTCAGATTTTATGACGTCCATGCTTTTAACCAAAAAAGAAAATCACCTTAAATAAACACATCTATACACAATAAATATAAATTATTAGTCGTGATAATAAAAATAAACACTAGCTAGTGTGATTCATAGTAATTGTCATCTCTCTGACAGGCCTTAGGCTTCGGCAGGTTTTCTCTGCTGGGCTGGAGCGATGGTGGAATCAGCTCACTCATCGCTTCTGCAAAATACCCAGACCTCATCCACAAAACAGTTGTATGGGGGGCAAATGCCTACATTTCGCAGCAAGACCTCGACTGTTACAATGGTACTTGAAAAATGTCTCTGCCACGACTCTCCACTGACTTTAACTATGAATGATGTTGAAGAGAAAGGTCAGGTTTTTGGGTGTATTTCTGGTTTATGGTGTGTGTGAAACATGGAAGCTAACTATTAACAGCTCACTTCATGAACTCTGGTCCTTTTTAACCCTATGATATCTGGAGTATTTGTTTGTTTTACTTGGCTGTATATCTTTGTATCTTTCACACCAAAGTCTATAGAGAAAATCAACATTTTTAACTCAAAGGTGAAAAGAACATCAGCTTAGTCTGTCAGCTATGTGTGACGAGGATAGAGACTCACAAATGAATCCTGGGTAAATGCTCAGGTAGTTTTGATCTCTTACACCTTAACTTTGGCACTCACACTGTCGGTGAGAGAAAGTGACTGTTTCTCACAAGGTCATATTCTTAAACCTTCTGATGGAGATTTTTGTTTTTCTCAGCCATTCGTGATGTTTCCAAGTGGAGTGCGAAAATGAGGCAGCCCCTGGAGGAGGTGTATGGAACTGAAGGCTTTCCTAAGTTATGGGAGGCCTGGATAGATGGTGTCATACCCTTTGCCAAGAAGCCTAACGGTACTGACATCTTGATGTTTTTGACAACATGGCCACATGGTCATTTAGTGGCCTCCTATGCTGACATCCTCTGGCCAGCTGCAAAATTTTTTTTAATACAAATCCATGCTGCAATAGCTCCAAACAGGACCTGAACTGTTCTTCCGTCTGTTTATCTCTCTCTATTAGCATGAGAGCTGCAGGCTGTGCGAGTCAGTGATACTGCTGACTTAAAATATAAAAATCAGCAGAATCGTTCTGCTTCACTTGTCTTTAATATGAATCTGTCTTCATCAGGAAGTGTCTGCATGGAGTTTCTGCCCCTCATAACTTGTCCAGTCTTCATCATTCATGGAGAGAAAGACCCCGTGGTGCCCACCTTCCATGCAGATTATATTGCCAAACACATAAAGGGATCCAGGTGAGAATACTCACACGGGTATTACTACATGTGAATAAGAGGAAAAACACACTTGCATGATGATGGTGTGTGTGTGTGTGTGTGTGTACTGTTTCTTACCAAATCCAGATTATACATGATGCCAGAGGGAAAACACAATCTTCACCTAAGATACGCTGAAGAATTCAACAAGATGGTGGAAGACTTCCTGCACGACTAATCCAACAATGAATAAAACAAACAAATGTTTATATAAAAAAATTAAATGAATCCAGAGATCAATTTAAATATTCACAATAAATGTACATTTTTGCTTTATCTCTCCATATTTATAAATCATTTTGACCTATTGAATGTTGATTCAATATTTAGACATCTTTTGCCATTGTTGGGCTGAAATATATTTTAATTGGAATAACAAATAAGTCCTAGAATAGATAAATGTCAGTCAAAAGGCTGTGATAAGTTGATGAGATTAGGCTGCTGTTTGAATTTTGGAATGTTTTGCATTTGTGCCCCCAGCATGCCTTTGTGGTATTTGCATTACGTAAGGTTTGCTTTTGCAAAATAAATAAATAAATAAAAATTCCCGTGAAGATTATACTTTTAAAAAATCGCGGTGCCTCTTCCTTCGCTTATTTCACATCGATTGTACCGGTGGCTCCTATTAGGTCTGCGTACGCTGCAGGCGTAATCATCGATAGTCGATTGGTCTGGGCTTTTTGTGTAACCCGGAAGTAGTTGTGTTGTTACTGTTTTCTATTCGCAGCACGAGTGTAACTCTAATCAACTACGCTCAGCATCAGGTTGACAAAATGAACGAGATGTTGAACGGTGTTACAACGGAAGGCATTTCCATCCACAATTTCACTGAGAAGATTCTGGAGCAGGTGATTCATTTTCACGTGATGAAACTCAGCGACAGTTTTTTTCTCTGGGTCGGTTCAAGTCCCGTCCTGTCCAGCCTGGCGGTGTCAATGAGCAGCAAATACGTAAGTCATACTTTAACATTGAGTAATATATGAAGTAGACTTTAGTCGCTTATCAGGTTTTTTAATGGTTACCATGTTAAACAGACATTAAAAAGAATATTTCTGCTTTATTTAGTTTGGTGATGTTGTAGTTCCAGATACTTGTGTTTACGTGGTAAAACTAGTGTTGACTGTAAATGTGATTTAAAGTGCACTTGTGTTGACTGTAAATGTGATTTAAAGTGTTGGTCCCAGGGCTTACTCTTGACAATGACTGGTTTACAGCTTTTTCACTGAGGTAATAATGGGTCACAATGCACTTCACCTGCCCGTGCGCCCCTGACAGAAACCGCATAAAGAAGATAACGACGGAACAACAACACATGGCGAAACAAGGGGAAAAAATCACAGAGCTCATAATGTACACACAGATTGTTAACGTCTTCGGTCTTGCCGTTGCTTGGACCCTCTCCACGGTCACCGTGTTGGTTTATAAGAAATTGACATCGACACGAAATTTAACTCTGAACCCAGCACTGCCCCAAGTGGATATAATGCTCATCAACCTTGCCAAACGTGTAGTGTGGCTGAATTGACGTTTGAAACGGACGTATCCAATCAGGTCCATGATGCCACACGAAGTGGGCTTTATGAGAACCCGTCGTTTACATATGTCTGTTTTGTAGCGATGTCAAATAAAGTGTTCGTAAAGACGCAGACAATCCAAACATCCGACTGAGGGACAACGTCTCAACCTGCAGGATGACCAAAAAAAGTCTAAACACTGCGCAGTCCTGGGGAAATCATGACAGTACCTCAACCTACCACCGCAAAACTTGCGCTCAGAGTTCGTCTGGTGTTGAAGTACAGTATGCTAATAGAAGACTCCACAATTTTGCGAAGATCCTCGAGGATTAAAAGGCATGGTTTCACTCTTTGTTCATTAAACTTGATATTTACCTGAAGATGAACCTGACCTGTTCTCAAACGGGTTGTATATAGCATTGTAATCAGTAAATGTAGAAGTGTGATATGGAACCGAAATGTATACATTTACAGTGTACAAATTGTAGTTCATTTGTAAAGCCACTTTGGCCCTTTAGGGGCTCTGTAGTTTTTGCTGATAACACACTTAAAAAAAAGTTATGCTTATTAATAATGTTGCAGTAGTTAATAATTAGAAATTGTTTTTTCCCACTGGTGTGTTTTACATTTTATAAACAATTGTTGTTTTCTTTTTTCTGCAGGATTCAATGCCATTGTCTTCATTAATCATGGGGGATTCGTCCAATACTATTCTAAATACCTTCTCACAGAGATTAGGTGAGAAGATACACTCATTTAAATCAGAGCAGAAATTTACTTTGGAACTTAGATGGATCTGAAACTTGTGAATTCAATTCTGTGCTGTAACAGAAAAATAATCCTCCATTGTTGTGTTGTAGTTGAGTAGATAAATTATTTGTTTTTGTTTGTTTCCCAGCAAAGAAGACTAAAAAACAGGTGTTTTTGAGCTACGATCTTCCAATGACAGACTCCAACCTCAGTCTCTTGGTGGAGAGGAGGATATTAAAAGAGCTGGAGCTCCACCCTGAGCTTTTCTAATTCACCACTGAGCATCCTCTCACTGGACTTGAACATTATACATGAAGAAAAAATAATAATAAAAAAAGCTTTTGTGCAAAACAGCTTGCATACTTAATCATGACCCAATAAGCAGTATAGATACGTCATCAAGTGTTCTTTTATTGACATAATAAATTAAACTGTTCATTATCAAAAACATGTACGCCTGTGGCTTTTTGTACAAATGTGTCATATTAAAAAAATAACACTTACAAAACATCATTAGTGGTGGTTGAAACGAGCGAACCTTACAGTCCGTTTATTGAAAATACTAGCTGTGTGCTCAACATGTTGTTGAAACCAGAACAAGATCTGTGAATATTTTGGACAAAAAAATGGTTTATTCATTTGTGTCAACGGCTCCCAAATGTTAGAGCCATAATTGATCTGTATGAAGCTCATGGCTTGACTTCACACTAAGAGTCCAGTAACACACAGTGCCTTCATGCTAGGGCTTGACAACTTCCAATATTTGTAATGTATCACACCACATGTATTGTTACTAGACAGCTGCCCACGGTAGAAACCCTGGTCAAACAAAGAGTGTTTTACTTTAGGACTGGACCAAACGTGGAAGCTCCGGCTTCACGTGACTCACATTTGGTTCACGACCTGTCGTTTGAGGAACAGCAATGTGCTTATTCTGTACATTATAAAAATAGAAGGTTGTTGGTTCATATATTATGAATGAATAGATGGCACATGTACACATACCTTACATTTTTAATGCAGCCCTATGGGGTACTTGGATGGTAAAGTGTATAAATGTACAACAACCACAACTAGGCCTGGCCTACGATGTCCTACACTAAACTCCACCTGGTTTTTTTGTTTGTTTGTTTTTTAGAAATAAATGGAAAATATTGTGCTTTTTCTGGTTTACACTTCCTAAGAGCAGGATTACTACGCAGTACAGAACACATACTGAAAGTTTGGAGTGGAGTCATTTGATGATAAGGAGGTATATCCAACAAAATTGCCCTGGGCAGCATTAGGAAATAAATACCTGCTAGTTTTCATAAATTACATTCTGTAATGTTTAAAAAATAAACTAAATTATCATAGAAAGCCATTTGGTGAAATACTGAGATGCATCATAAGACATGCTGAATTAAACTGACCCATTCTCCATGTCTGTTCCACACTCAGAATTGTTTTGACCACATGTCCATCTGCTGAGGTCTCAGGCTGCTCATGATGTCAAACAACCATCATACACCCACATCGATGACACTCATGGGTATTTAAAAACTAAAGTCTACTCCAACCTCAGCATCTGAGGAAAAAGTGCCACTTTGGACTTTGTAGAGAAGACAAATGAAGAATACAAAAAATATCTACAAAAAAAGGGACAATGTTTTGTGCCCTTTCATGCAAAACAACTGGTAGTGGTTTAGCCAATCCCTGGATCACCCTGATGTTGGCTTCAAATCCCCAAACACTTGATTGTGTCTCTGACCTTTAGTGCAAAATAACTCTTAAAGATCAATACAATGTAGTGGAATCCTCTTTCCACGAGTCCAGAACTACAGACAGAACTCACAGAGCACTCTCTATCCAAGCTAGTCAACGTTAGCCTCCTTTCTCGTCGCTTCATCTGCTTCTTATCTACTGAGGTCAAAACAAGGGGGAAAAAACAACAAAACCTTTGGACCTTTAGGTTACTCAGACATTAAATTCAGGTCAACGCGATCCAGGACAATAATATTTTTGGCAACTCCTGAACGACTCACAATCACTACAAACTACAAAAATGTCAACTTCCCAAAGGTTTCATCACTTTTTAAAAAAAAAAGTCTTAAAATTTCACATCTGACCATTCAGACAGTTTAATGCCTCAGCACAGTATAGACTATTGCTACGATGCTCACACCCCATTGGCTACTGCGTGATTTCCAATCACCTCACCCCCTGTCGCCAGAGCGTATGAGGCAGGTACAGCTGCCAAAGCAGTTGCTGCTGCGACTGTAGCGCTCCCAGTGGTTGAGAGGTGCAGTGGCGTGTCATGAACTCGTGAATAATCTCTGTCAATCTTGGCCAAGAGGAGGTGCTGTTCTCCAGGATGGAGCAGTGTCTGGCGGGTGAAGGTCTCCCCATCAGCCATACTCTCCGGCAGAGGTTTGCCCCGAGGTTCGGGCAGCAACAGTAGGCAAATGATGCACAGCAGGGTGCAGCATGCAAAGATCACGTGATGTAGAAAGTAGCCCTTCTGGTTGTGGAGCTCCATGATTGGAGCAGTGAGCATTCCGAAACCTGCACTAGCCAGGACCAGTCCTAAGCCTCCACCCCTGCATCAAATGTTAGCGTTAAGTTAAAATAAAGTATAATTAATAATAAAAGAAAACTCAGACCTCCCCCAGACTCACCTGATAACGGTGGGGGTGATTTCAGCACAGAAGAAAATACTAAGTGTGCTGACGGCATGAGAGGAAAACATCCCGATGATGGAAAAGGCCACCGAGAATTTTCTGTTCAGGGTGTCTCTCAGAACTGTCCAGTAGAGGGAGACAAATGTTAAGAACTACATCAGCATGGAGCAATTTAAACAGAGTAAATGAGGTTGGACATATTCTACAGTTCCTAGGAGTCATATATGTTGTCATGTGGTTGTACCTGTGTCATGGCGGAGGCTGTACTTCCCAATGACTGGATTCCATCAGGGAGCATTAGACAAAACAGAAAAGAGGAGAAGAATTCCATGAGTAAACACAAGGGCCAACTTTCACACAAAAAAGAGCCTGGAAAACATGTTTACTGGGGCCAACTTTCACACAAAAAGAGCCTGGAAAACATGTTTACTGCACTGGGAGGAAACTCAGTTTCTCATAGATTTGGATTCAAACTGAGCTCTGTTGTTCAACTGACATAGCTGCCACCCCCCACCGCCCAATCTCCACAGCCTCTTTCATTCTGCAGTTTTAGAAACCTTGAAAGTTAACCTATGCCCCTAAAAGAACAGAGTAGCACTGTTTATAGCTTGGAACCCCTTTGAGTTCTTGTTCTGGTCTGATTAGTCCTATTTACTCACGGTTTAGTAGACCCAGCTGCAGCAGCGACGCCAGCGCTGTTATGATCATGAAGGTGAGAAGACCGCCACGGCGTCCCATCAACCCCACAGCAGGGCAAAGGGCCAGGCAGGTTGCCACGGCGATGCCAGCCATTGTGTAGTAGTCTGCGTGGCACAGAGCAGTGGGCTGGGCCTCTGGGTCCATCATACTTCGGGCAAAGCAGTGGTGGATCCCGTACCCTGTCAGGCTGCACCGGGAGACAAGCAGAGACAATGTGAACTATGAGTGGGTGGTAGTACCTGAGACTAGCCACTAGGGTGAGTCTTGGACAATCGTGTGTAACTCATGCTCCTCCAATGCAGCGAATGCTACGTTGATAAGCAAAGGAACTGTACAAGCACAGCACACTTACGAGTTGACACACAGAACCACAATGTTTTTCCACAGGTTCCTGGTACTCATCATCTTGATGATGCAGCTCCGCTGAGGTTTTCTGTGCAGCTCTTGCTCCAGTTCTGGTAGGAAACATCAAATGCACATGTTGAGAACCTTCCTCTCAGAAGCTAATGAAAATCCAGCCACTCGGGTGCCTGTTAGTACACAGCCGTGTACACGCCGTGGGGCCTGAAGATAAATGGCACATTCTTTTGCCTACTCCTACCATTAATCTGTCTGTGTGACAACTGGGAGAGAACCAAACAATGAAATCCAGGCCGAGAGCTGCCGATGTTGGCACACCGAGGAGGAAGGAGCTTCACCGTGTCAGACGCAGCTTGAAGATTTCTGTGGAGTTACTACAGGGTGGTTTTTATGACACACCATAATGGTGTACTTGAGATTTTTAAAGGTGGTATTGAGCGCCACCATCTGCAAAGTCAGCACTGACTGTGATACTTTTACAGACCAATCGATCTCCTCAACTATAGAGTCCAGAATAGATTTTCAGCCTTCAGGGAAACTTGAGCTGTTGATTCATTGATTCTGGAGTTTATTCGTGTGACTTTGAGGAATCCACACACAGGAGGCGCCATTAGGGATATGTGGCCCCTCTGGGAATCAAACCCAGAACTCTCTGCGTGCTAGCAGCTACACTAAGGAACCACAAATTCCCAAGAAACTGACATAGTTTAATAATTTTAATTTTGGAAAATGAAAAATTATTAATTTTAATTAAGTATTAATTTATTTAATAATAAATACAAATAATTTAAAGAGTAATTTAGAAAATTTATAGAGTGAGTCTTTGCAGCCAACACAGGGATATGTAGTTCCTCTGGGAATCAAACCCAGGAGTCTCTGCTTGCAAGGCATGACTGACTTGGTGATTTTAATTTTGTATTGTATTTATATTCATTTATTCCAAGAAGCTCTAGAAGATGACCATCTGGAAAATGAAGTGAGCACATAAGGGCCTGCAGCCTCTGGTTGACTTTCTATACACAGCACAGAAGAAGTCGCTGCAGAGCACAGCTTTTGAACACAACGAAACAACTGGAAGAAGTCTGAGCAAACTTCACTCATGTCGTCTCCGTCCTCACCTATCAGAACCCCACTGGGCTCCATCGTCATGTCCGTCCTGTTCTTCCTAGCAATGTGCAACATCATGGCTTTGGACCGCCTGTACTGCTGGGTGGCCAGCAACCAGCGGAGAGACTCGGGGAAAATCCTGCAGAAGAAGAGCGGGATGTGGAAGGTGGTGCAGGAGCAAGTGAGGACACACAGGAAGAAGAAGAGCGTGTGTTGTCAGAGGAGGGAAAGAAAGAAGAAGAAAGGAGAAGAGGAGGAGAAAGAGGGAGGGATGAAGGGGAGAACAACATGGGGAGAAAGAGAGCATTGTTTTGAATGTTGAAGCAGTGTGTAGTAGTGTACAAGCTGACGCCTGGCTCAGTGTAAGGAGTATCTGCCCCCCCACCACCAACACCTCCCTCCACTCCCATCCACTGCCGTGGATTTCCTCACACACTCACCAGATGTAGGGCAACATCAGAACAAAGGGGCTGATTATGACGATCTGAAGCACCTGCCAGTCATCCCGCTGCGGCCAATTACGGCACAGAGCGGCTAGCCCCGGCATCAAGAGCTGCCCGCCCACCATCAGGAAACTGGCCACCATGGCCATGGAGAACCGCCAGGCTGGCAAACAAAGCTCGATCCCTGAAGTGAGGAGGCAGAGAGGAGAGACAGTTGATAATAGAACCTTCAGACCGATCTGCTGCAGCAGTGCTATCGACCAAATACTGTGTTAGCATTGACGCCCGTGTGTTAATGTGGACATAAAGTTGTCTGCATCACCTCATGGCCTGTAGGACTCTGACGTGTCTGTTTGTTTAATGGTGGGGGCCATTGTTTGAGCTCCCCTCTGAGTTATTGCGAGCTCCTATTACTGATCCTTCCCCTGAGAGACAGCACTTCCACCCCAGACCTCCATGTGAACTCAGGACTGGGTTTTTGAGAGGATTTAGCCACTCCGAAAAGCAAAGAGTTTCACTGCATCCACTCTTCAATTTCTGGGCTCCTCTCCCTCCCTTCTTCCCTCTCTCTCCTCTCTTCTTCCCTCTCTCCCTCCCTCCCATTTCCCCTCCTTTACTGCCTGTAACTTGGTACAGTCCAGATGGCCTGGTCCATATGGCAAGGTCTTTCTGAAGGTGACCACTGTCAGTGTGTGAGGAGTGAGGCAGGAGGCAGGAGGCAGGCTGCTAACCTGGCATCATGTACTGTCACTTCTTATTGTACACTAGGAGGAGGGGGTGGGGGGCAGAAGGGGGTGAAAAAAAAGCAGGAGTATCAGGGGTAGAATACCAATGACATTTTCCTCTACACATCAGTGGAACCACAGGGGGAACGATGATGATAAAGCCAAGAGAGAAGAACACATGGTGACAAAGGTGGAGGGAATGAACGGACGAACAGACGGGCGAATCACAAAAAGATGACAAATTAAAAGTCACGTCTTCTCTCTCCGTCTTTCATCTGTTCCTTTCTACCACGGACAACAAGAGAATCAAAAGAACAAGAAAGAGTGGCCACCACACATCAGATGGACAAAAGACTAGTGATAAAAAATAGTTTTAGAGTTTTATGTACGAGGGCTGCGAACACGAATGCTAACATTAACAAACATTAACAAGAATAATTAATTGGAGAAATTACATTTTTATCACATGGTCAGAATGTTCAACTGATTGGTTTTTTCAACTTTATCTGCATGTTTGTTTTGGCCATTTTTTTGCATCCTCCCTCCCTGCCCTGGCACAGACTTGTACTTCGTTTAACTTTCTGTAATGTGACCATTAATTCTGAAAACACATTGGCTACATATCTGATTTAGGAGTACATTTGAAAGTGACCTGACTCTGCTGTGCAAAAACTGTATTTTTATTTTTAAACCGTCATATATGGGCTACGTGTTGGTTTAACTGGGCAACGTTAGTCTGCATTGCTGGTCCTCATCTCCAAATCACTAGTCAGACTCTAGTCTTCAAAATTAGGTTGTGCCCCATTAGGGTTAGGTTCTGGTCCCCAGGGGGCGTGCTAGTCACTGTATTCAAACACAACACCTTCTGATGCAACCAAAACAGTTGACAACTCTCTGTGGAGAAAACCCACTGTACCTCACACACACGCACACACACACACTGGTAAGGACCTTTTGTTCCAGCTGAGTGAAGAATGATTCTCCTTGTGCTGATTATCTCACCACTCGTCCCTGTGCTGCCCCCCCCCCAGCACACCCCGACCCTCCTACACCCCCTCCCCAGCCTCGCTGCCCACTCTTTGCTCTTGCTTATCAGAGTTAAAGTGGTGCTTGCACAGTGTGTATGGCCACCCTCCCCCATCTTCCCTCACCCCCAGCAGCTTCTGCTCTCCTCCTCTCCCTTTTTTCACATCTGCAAGTGAAACAGCAGCAAAAAGGTTTTTTCACAAAACAAAAGCCTCTAATGGCACAAAGGGAAGGAGGAAACAAAGAGGAGACAATGGAGGAGCAGCTGAGCCGACGGCCGCGTGCATCTGTGATGACGACTGCCTGACAGCAGCACACACACATGCACAGTTGGTTGTCCGCTGCTCCATTCCCAACCTTGCCTGGGGCGGGACGACAGTGCTGAGAGACTATTGACTTTTAAAACAGCGTGAGTTCATGGTCAGACTCTGTGCCTGTACTCCCAGTGGTACACAAATACTCTGTGACAGAAGGAAAACGTGTACTTCCCACAGAAACAAGGTACAGGATACTGACAAGACTGACCGAGTACACAACTGGGTAAACGCACTCAGCCCAAAATGGTGTTTTGGGACGGCATTTGTCAGCACTTTGAACATTAATTCAATGTCACTGTGACAATTAATTCTGTGCATTGTTCGAACATCTACGTCAGGGTGCAGCACAGAGAGAGTGTTAGGGACAGGATGTGACAAGGTTTCTCAGCTGAGTCAGCAGTAGTGAACCCTGCAGCTACACACACACATACACACACACATACATATACTGTTACATGTATGCACACTGGCAGATTGCCTGTGTTTTTCATTTTCAGCGCTAAGACGTAGTGTATCAGCAAAAAATCAAGAAACTTTTTTCCTCATTTTGTTTATACTTCATTTGGTACTAAATGTTCGCCATTCAAGAGTTTACACCAGACTTCACACTCATTGTACTGTATGTACTGTGTTACACTCAGGCACTCATTGTACTGTATGTACTGTGTTATATAGACTGTACATAAAGAATGGACAGTTCCATGGTTCACAAATGGCAACTGTTAAAATTAGGTTGAAAAAAAAGCTAGTATCTGGAGCCTTCCAGTGTAAATGTTTGTCTATTGGATTATTAATGAACACCTGATCAGTATGTCTACTGATCCTGAAGCTCTTTATTTCAGATTTTCACCCTATCAGCTTGAAATGTTTGCTCAAGTTAAATCTGATGTTCTACAGGGTTTAAAATATATGTTCTGTTTTCCACCCACAGTCTTCAAATTCAATGCTGCAACCTGGAGCTGACAGCCAGCCTTGTCCTCACGTCTCCTTCCAGCCCATAATGGTAAGGACTTGTTATTATTCCCATCATAGATTTCCAATAAACCGTGGTGTGTTTTCCATTAAATAAAACCATATTTTATATGATCTGCTCTGAAGAGCCATGATTGCGGCGTGGAATTAGTTTCAATTTATCTCCATCTGAAAATAGAGATGCAGAGACAGCAGGTGGGGGCGGGGGTGTAGCTGTCATCCAGCAGCTGCCCCCAGGAAGACCCAGAGGTAGCTGCCAAATTACAGTAAGTAATAAACCTGTGTAGAATATCTACAACAACCAAATATGCCCGCTGCGTTTGACATCAACACATTTACTTTAGCGGGAGGAGAAAATGCACTGAGCTAAAAACGCTCTGGTGCAGAGTGATAACAAAATGAACTGGGATTTTAAATGAGTCTCCAGTAAATGAGGAGCAGGGAGAGGGAGAAGGACCAGAGAGGAGCAGAATGGATGCAAAGACTGGAAACATATTTGTCTGAAATCCCCAAATAATCTTTTGTTTGTTTTCAGAACTCATACTTTGAAATACAGCATTACTTTCCCTAAGGGCACTGTTTAGCTCGCTTGCTAACATAAAAAACCCCTAAACAAACACAAAAAGTGTGTGAGTGCAGTGATTGTTCCAACATTTTTTTGAGCTCAAACTGTTCCTCAACTGGATCATTGCAGTAACTGCTTCTCACAGTCTTAGCCAGAGGTGTGCAGCCTGTGGCTCCTGGGCCACACGCTGCTCTTCAGCCTCTCGTTTGTGGAGCTCATTGTTCTGTTACTCTGTCCAAACACTTGAAGTTTTGTAGCGTGAATGTGTCAAAGCCTGGGTTCAAGGTCAGGGCGTTTTGATGCAGTGGCACTGGTTTCCAGAGCCAAGACAATAAAACAATGTGTCACTGTCAAAGAGCACATACACTGTTGTGTTCTAATATTCTCCTCAGGCGAGGACACTGTCTGCTAGACGAGCAGCAACTTCGTGGCTAAAAAAGTGTAGAGAAAAAGAAAATTTAATTTGAAAAAAGGAAAGGTTTCTTCTTTTTCTTCAGTTAAAACTCGTTTGTGGTTCATGCGACTCGTGTGACTCGGTCTTTGATGACGTTTGCAGGTGGTAAAAACCGTCGTGTGTTTGGCAGTCAACCGTCTGACACTGAGTCACTTCTGTTGGGATTTGTGCTGCGGCACAGTGTGAATTTCTGCACCAGCTTGTGTTTCTTCTACTGTATGTAAAACACACCTCTCATTACTCTGCAGTACTCTGTAAAGTACACAGTATTTTTTGGCCTTTGTGTTGATGTCGAGGCTCCTTGGAGGACGAAGGTGAGAGATTGAAATGATTCATGATCAAACAGCTAACCAGTTTAGTCTACAGATACGCTAACATGTGCCAATTAGCACAAACAATGCTAATAAGCTAATCTTTAGCATACAAACAGATGCAGCTGCTGCTGCTGTGGTCAGGTGTTCATTGGCCATTTGCTCCAGACTGAGACCAAAATCTCGGGAATGTTCTGAGGAGACGGCTACGGGACACAGACTTGTGATTTGTTTATTTGTTTTTAGTAAGGGCTCAGCAGACTTATCTAGGACTCCCTCCC